TTACCTACTGCCACTTGGTCTAGAACTCTTGTACAAAATCTAATATGAGGAAACTTGAAAGGACATAAGAGCTCTGTGTTGTATTCAAGGAAAAACTGCGACATATAATGTACTACTCACTAACGCTGAACTAACCGCTAACTACATTACACACCTGGATAAAGGCGGTAAAGAATTTTTCTCAATTTGATGATATAATTTGCAATTTTTTTATTCCCATTAATTTGTTAATAGTTTAAAACAAACCTGTTAGGCATCTCATCGTGTAGGCCCAGAGATAGAATGGTAGAAGTGGACTAACATCTCAAGGAGTGATGTGTGAAAAAGATATGCAGTTACTTTGAGTTTTCTAAGGCAAGACACAAATCATGGTAGCAAAATATGTGCAAATTATTTTCTGCTAAACTGTTACTGGCATTTGATTACAGAATGTTTTTTCTTGTTTCTATGCTGGCTTCAGGAATATACTTCTGACCAAAAGAAAAGTACCACTAAAAGGTGTCTTTACATCAGTAAAGGAAAACAAAGTACTCTTTCATTTTCCGTAGATAGAACACAACAATCCTTCCTTGTTCTCAAGAGTCATTCTTGCAAAATCCATATGTAAATGCAAGCACATACCATATTGAAGTAATGATTGCCACCCAGTCAACCTTGAAAGCTCATGTGCACTTGGAAGAAAATCATTGTCAGCTGAAAAGTTGACACGTCTCATTTGAGTGAGGGAATTCCTCATTAATTGTTGCATGGCCTACATAGCAAGCAAAGTCCTCAATGTTCTGATGAAATATCCATTCATTCTACCAAGGAAGGCCTCCTTGGCAGTAGTCAGAATTAAAACCAGTTCCATGCAGTCTAGTTCAGTTTAGTTTAATTTGTTCGCCACAGGAATGGCAGGAGAAAGGAACAGAACTTTCGTTCTAATTGACACCTAACCCCTTTTTTACCTATCCATCCCACCCCGGGGAGGACATCCATCACACAGTAATCTCGTGTGTGGGAAATTAACGTCTCCTACCCCAACCCTGCAGGAGACGGGACCTCCATTTATCGTCCCTATCCAAGAAGACTAGAAAGTCTAACCATTTGCAGATATTATTACAAAGGCAGCACTTTATTCTCAGTTAATTAAAGACCCTGAGTGTTGGTCTGGTCGGATTTGAACTCACGACCAATTGAGCTAACTGGGAGTCTTTGAATGAGCTCTGTAAATTTAAGTGTTAACATTAGGAATGGCTCATGTTGATTTTAGTGACTTATACTGTATTCCATAGCCATAATACTGTTAATAATGTTAGTATGATAATCTTAAGAAACTTGTGGTATTCCTTCAAAAAGAAAAAAATTGCACCAACGTGAAGCTTTAGAAGAGGTAAATAGCCAAATGGCACCAGTTTCACAGGCTATTTAAGGGGATAGCTGTTATTTGATTACAACTTCAAGAGCAGTTCCCCACGCCTTCGGACACCCCTTTAGTTAGCTTGAAGTCAATCTAAAAAATTTTTTTAAAGCCATGTAGGAACATATTTCTTTTACTGTCTGAAAACATAATCCTCTAGAGCTAGTCCCAAGAACCTATTACAGTAACTATGAAAACGTTCAATTTTTTTAATATTTGTTTAAACTGACAAGGCTGTAAAGACTTCAACAGTTTTTACTCTTGATGTCACACCTCAATCATTGTGTTAAGCATTTAAATACCTTACATGTTTTTGTTATATGCTATTCAACTGCAAATCCTTTGCTATCATAAAACTAAATACCAGATCTTAAAAAGAGGAAAAATTGACTGATTGAAAAATTGACTAAATTGCTGAAAATTGCATGTTCTAAGAAACACAGCTAACAGAAAACTTGACACACATTAGAAGAAAATTCAAATGTAAAAAATATTGTAGCAGGAGCAAAGGGATTGATTGATAGCAACCTAATGCTCCCAGTCCTACTCAAATTCAAATATCACTCCTGGTCTTCATCTCTTCACTGGTATCAGTGGAAATTCTTGGAATAAAGCATAAATCCACCTTGTACTTTTCAACAGCCGTAATTTTGTTAGATATCTCTTCTGTATCAGTTTAGGGAAGAGTTTATCATCCCATATGTTGACTTTTGGAGTCAGAGGAGATAGGGAAACAAAGATGTTCATGTTCCTTGAAAAAAATAAGAATGCCAGTGCTCAATTTTTGTTTAACAAATTTCCATATTGTTTTGTGTAGTGACTAGTGAGACATGGCTCTAGCATGATTCCTTGTTGTTTTGAATACCTTACTAACTCTACTGAACTTTCTTAACTCTAAACAAAAGGAAAATTGCTTCACATAATTTCTGTTTCCTACAAAATTCAATGTCAAAGGTCAAATGGCAGTTAAAGGACTTAAAAAAGATTTTTCTTGTGACAGTTAAAAAGGGTGATGCACAAAGTAAGATTGTAATGACTCAGACTTGATGGTAACACACTTTCCAAATTTTTAGTAAGCTCCCACAAATCTATGCAATAACACACCAAAATAACTGTTTATTCAGTTGTCAATCTGAATATTAGGCTAATATGGGGTGCCAAAAGTGTAAAACAGGTGCTTATTTAACCACCTGTGCTACCTCAAGAGAATGTAGTGGGTGTAAGACCTACACGAGGTGGACTGATTACAAGTGCAAGTGCTTGAGGATACAGTAGACCTTCACAGGTGTCCTTAGCAAAAAAATTAATTGATGCACTATTCAAAGCTTAACCACCATAAGCAATATATTAATGGAAAGGTTATGCAATGAACTATCTGACAAAAATTTTTTCTGATTTAGCTCGATCTAATTGTAGACTGACTGAGGTGCAACAATTCAAAGCAAATAATGTTTCTTCGGGCAAATTAATCTGGTAGCAAATCTGACAAATAACACTTATGCAGTCTTAATCTTTCTTCTTTCACAATCTAGTTTCTGAAACAATCAACGACAGTGCTTTGTCTGACATGAAAAAAAATTTCCCTGCAAATTTGGCCTCGAAAATTTACCATACCCTAAGATAAATAAAAGTTAGAAGCCTTCTATATAGTTCATTCTACTTGAAAGAATGGCATAGGTAATAATAAATTTGATTTTCAAATGGCTCTCCTCACAGAAATCTGTGCACGAGTTTTATTTCAATCTGCCCTTCACTCTTTCAATTGGGGAAAATACTCTGTCCTCAGGGTTAGTGTCTGGATGGAGGCATGGTGATAAGGGTGGGTCACATACAGGTCCATTTAAGAACTAATGGAAATTAACAAAACAGTGACACATAAAGGAAACAACTTTTAAAGAAGAAAATAATATAATCACCAACTCTGACATCAACTCTCAGAGTGTTTTCAATCATAGTGAAAATATATGTTCTACTTTTCATTGGATATCAGTGGAACCCCTGTATTGATTCAACTGCATTGGTTACCTGTTCATTTTCGGATTCTTTTCAAAGTTTTATTGTTAGTTTACAAGGCCCTAAATGGTATGGCACCATTATATATCACGGAATTACTTAGTTATCGTACATGTTCACGTACACTCTGCTCTACTGATCAAAAATTTCTGGCAGTTCCGAAGTCAAGACTTAAAACATACGGAGACAGGGCCTTT